ATCACAATTAAAGCACTCACGCGACAACAAAGTTATGAAAGATTGCCTCCAATTAGCACAACGACACCAGATTCTATTTATTCCTACAAAAGAAAAACTAACTACACCCCGTTCAAGCAAAACGCTTGGAAAAGAACTCCAGCACTAAGAAAAATCAAGGGAAAATTGTTACACTACCTAAGAAAATAAAACAAAAATTAAACAAATTTTTCTTCTTCTTTGACATTAATCCTCAAGAAGACAGTCAAGGAAATCTATCGTCAGAAAAAGTCAAAAGAAAAATTTCAAACAAACAATGACGAAAACACACACAACGATAAGAAGAAGAAAAACAAAAACACATATACATATTTACATCCCCCACCCCACTTAAATTGTTGCATTCCCATGACACACAAGTAAAAACTAAGAGATAAAGGAAACTCCCCTGAATTGTTTTTGTTTTAGAGAACTTATGAACTCAACCGTTAATTATGAATTTATTCCTCATTTTAGCTCTTTGGGATTCTTTATAGAGCTCATTAGGCCAACGTCCCCCGAGGATATCTGCAAGACCCGCTCTTTTCTTTTTTTCTTGGCCTTATTTTGATTGGTGAAATTGTTCTTATAGGATCATCTTCAACTAGTTCCTGCATTTTTTCACAGGATAAATCCATGTATCTTCCTGTAAATAAAATAAAATTCACTTGATCAAGTTTAGGATAAGAAAACAAAGAAGAAAGGTCATTTGAATATTCCTCTAGTATGTCCAAGACCATTCGTTTTTCATTCTCTTCTAGTACAGGTTGTAAATGTGGCAAAGTGGACGGGGGTTGAACTCTTCTTTTATTGCTTCACACTCAACCAAAACCCTATTTTCAATCATCTCAGTTGAATCAGAGTCCTCTTGCAGAGTAATAACTTCTCTTTATGCTCATCCTCTTGGGTAGGCTCATTCTCATAGGGTATCTCCTCTATATATTTACCATCACAATGCAATGAGCTTTCTGAAAATCTACTTACTATTTGACTCACTTGAATAGTCAGGTTCTTAATTTCAAGAACAACAATCCAAACCCGATATATATATATATATATATATATATATTGCAATTATTATCTGAGAGAGTACCGTGTCTTCACTGGAGGAACCAAGTGGTGTATAATGCATTGAAGATGTGATAGATTTTACTTAAATCTTTTGAATATTAATTACCTTATAAATAATCCACAAGTATAGTTTGCTAAGGAAGGAATTTATTTTTAGAAATTAGTAAACTCCGTCAGTTGAGTAACTTGAACTAGTTGAGAATGGCTATAAATTAGACATTAGCAATGAAACTCAAACTGTTATTCTGTAAATTAATTACTTAAACTGTTATTCTGTAAATTAATTACTTAAACTGTTATTCTGTAAATTAATTACTTCAGCTTCTCTAAGTTGGTGTAAGTACTCGGGCAAAATTTTTCTTTCTCTGGTGATATTAGATAGGTATTATTCAAATAAATACTTGTAACAAATAATTGTAACTTAGTGACATTAATTATCTATAAAACCATAAATTGAAAAGGTCAAAACCAATCTAAAAAGCCAAATTGAGAGAACGAGAGTCACCGGAGGCGATGAAGTGAAATTCAAGGTTAGTGCATTTAAATGATACGAAGCTGGTATAAAAAATAAAAAATAAAAAGTAGAACCCGCAACCCGCCCCACCCCGCAATTGTGTTCCCCTGCACCCGCACCGTATAGGCTTAAACCCGTCCTGCCCTGCACCCGCACCGCCCCATTGCCATCTCTACATATGATTATATGTTATCGGAGTTTTTCTAACAATTGGTTACATGAGGGAGAAAAGAGNNGGGGGGGGTCGGGGGGGAGGAGGTAGATAAAGAGAGGGAGCCAATTAGACTAAGATTAGTAGCATTTGATCAAATTAATAGTATTTTGCAAATTGGCTAATATTAAGTAATATTTTTACTTTGGAATCCAAACTGAATAGTTTTGTCAACATAAAACTATGGTCTGTTCGGAAAGCTGAAAAACTGGACGCAGGTTGAGGTTAGCATTAAGGGATTGGTACATAAATAACCGGTCAGATTCAATGTTTACTTTTTTTAGCCCGTATACACACACACATATATATATCCATCGGCTATTTCTATTTTGGATTTTTACATACCTATACATTATTGAAAACTTTATTATCAAAAATGTCCATGTTTAGTTAATTACCCGACCTAAACAAGTTTTGTCTACAAAATATATACATTCCACCTTAAAAGGCTCCCAATCCATTATTTGTGCCTTCAATCAAGGGATTTAGTTACACCATTTTCCTTTTTTCTCTCATCTCTTTCTCCCCATATCTCGAGTAAACGGAGTGCTTTGAATAATAACGAATTTTCCAACTAAATCTGCTACTCTAACAGACTTTGCTCAAAATCCTCTTTCTTACTCTTCTTTTTTGTCTTATTTATGTACTCTTTAAAGTGTCAATAGATGAGCTAACCTCATGTACTAGTAAAGGTAATTACTGGATTGAATGATAATGAATTGGGAATTCTTTCCAACTACCCTGCCCTTCACCAAGGACAAACCTATTGCAGAAAGTTCAAGTACTATTTTAAGATAACCCGCTTTACCCTTAAATTTTATCCTTTAATTAACAAAGATGAATATTATAAATTTTTGTTCCAACCGGTAACTACCATGCCCTTAATTCTACAAAGGAATAAAATCTATTATAGAAGGCTCAAGGAAAATTCGAATTTACCGTTACACCATCTTCTCTTATAATTAAATTCTTGTATTTCCTTTGCTATCTGTTCATATGGATGGGATAGTAGTGGTCGATATGTTAATTTCAATTTCGACAAAATTGTGATAAACTCGGAGTCAAGTTACAACGCATTACATTCAGCCATTACAGAGCATCTATCAATTGATATACAATTACAACTTCCATACATTATTTCTATCCAGTTATATACAACTACAATATCATACCACTTAAATAAAAAATTTATACAATATGTCTTTTGTATATTTTTTATCTGATTTATACATAGTAAAAACAAATTTCATACAACTAATTATATATTATATAACTTATCAACAACTTATCTACAACTTTCATACATTATTTCTGCCCACTTATATACAACTACAATATCATACCACGTAAATACAATTTTTATATAAATTTTATACAAAATGTCTTTTGTATATTTTGTATCTGATTTATACAAAGTAAAAGCAAATTTCATACAACTAATTCTACATTATACAACTTATCTTCAACTTATCTACGATTTTCATACATTATTTCTACTCAGTTATATACAACTACAATATCATACAACTTAAATACAATTTTTATACAATATTGTTCAACTTTCATACAAAATTAAAATTAAAAAAAATATATAAACAACAGAATATAATTTTTCTACAATTTTACTACAACTTTACTACAATTTCTGCAGTATAATGTATGTCATGTCTTCTTCTTAGAGTTTCAATCTGAAATTCAGCCAAAATCAAGTCTAATCTTCACCAAAACACCCTTAAAATTGAGATATAAACTCCAAATAATATTCCAATTGTTTGCAAATAATATTCCAATTGTTTGCAAAAACACCCAATCCAAACAAATAATGGTTTTTGAAAACCCAAATTCGAATTCAAAGCTTCAAAGCTTTTTAATGGCTGTCAATGATGGAATTGCTGCTCTTTTTTCCTTTGCTTTACATTACTGGAATTAGGGATTGAGAGATAGAGAGAGACATTGAGAGAATTCCCAATTGTTTGCAACAACTCCCAATTCAAACAAATAATATTTTTTGAAAACCCATATTCGAATTCAAAGCTGCAAAGCTTTTTAATGTCTGTCAATGGTGGAATTGCTGCTCTCTTTTCCTTTGCTCTACATTACTGGAATTAGGGATCGAGAGATAGAGAGAGACGGAGAGAGAGAGAGAGAGAGAGAGAGAGAGAGAGAGAGAGAGAGAGAGAGAGAGAGAGAGAGAGAGAGAGAGAGACGGAGAGAGAGAGAGCGCATGAGGGAGAGAGAATAAGGATGGGAAATAATTGATTCCTAATATAAAGGGATACTCATTTAATTCCTAAAGTGTATATAATTGATAAATTTGTATATAGGAGGTAACTAAATTGTAACTTGAGTAGGTAAGGTAATAAAGTTTTCAATAGTGTATAGATATGTAAAAATATCTTTCTATTTTAAGAGATTAAGTGGGCGACTATTTGAGTTAATTCTTCTAGCATTTAAAGTGAAAATTAGGGTGAAATTCAAAAATAGCCAGATTTACAACTGGTCGTTCAAAAATAGCCCAATTTCAAAAGTAATACGATATTTAGCCACTTTCATGTAAAGATAAATCTAGAAGCGAAAACACAGTTCAAAACCCGGAAATACTCCAGCATAATATGATGGAGTTCCAGCATAAGTACACTAGAACTCCAGCATAATATACTGGAGTTCCAGCAAGTATACCGGTCCAGCATAATATACTGGAGTTTGGAGCACCGGTGCTCCAGTCTCCAGTATATTATACTGGAGCCAGCAAAGTATACCGGTCCAGCATAATATGCTGGAGTTCATACACAGGTGCACTGAACTCCAGTATATTATGCTGGACCGGTCTCTGCTGCAGCAAAATAGTGGCTATTTTTCATTGACTTGGTAAACGCTGGCTATTTTTAAATGATCAGTCCGAAAACTGGCTATACCGTGCTATTTTAACTGAAAATTAGCGTCCAACCTAAGCCCAACTATAATCTGTAATGGCCCATAGATATGGAGCCCAAGACGAGCTTAGCTGTACAACACTCTAGAAGCTAGCTACATTGACCTTTAGATTGAACGTAGAGCCATTTTAACAAGGAAGTCGTTATTGTCGAAACAGGAATATTTCTGCACAATGTGACAGCTGCGTAAGCTAATTGTAAACTACGTTTCAATTGTTGTACCTTTTAAACTGGCGATAGCCAAATTTTTTGTTTGAAAATAGGAAGTGCCTCGGATTTAAAACACTTTGGTTTCTCCGTCTTTCTTGGAGAGGAACAGTTGCCTGTCACTCACTATACAATACTATAATATACACGTAGTTAGATCCAACCAACAACTTCACATGGTACAAACTACAAACTAACTTTAACTATAATAAAGCTGCACGGCTAGTAATCAACAAAGCCCCTTTTGCAAGTTCTCTGTCATGGCTCGGCCTGTTATTCAATCATCCTCTCTCTGTAACTCCTCCTCTGTGGATCATTCAAGGGTAAAACGATCTCATCTTTCTGCTGCTTTTGTTTCATTTCTTGCTCTTTTGATGTGTGAGTTGACTAATTGGTGCAGATCTTGAGGACCCAGTTGAGATTCATGGGAATTGAGCAACCCCATTTCAGATTGTTGAATTTGCCCAAGTAAGCTTTGGAATCGTGAGATTCTAATTTAGTTTGAGATTGTTAAATTTTGCCTAGTAAGCTTTTTGTATCTCGTTAATCGTCTCTAATGGGGGAAAGTTCAATTCTTTCTTTCTTTTCCTAGTTATCCCAGATTCACTTTCTTCTCGGAATGCAAAGCTTTCACTTTTTTATTTATGCCTTAATAGTGTTTATCTTAGAAATGAGGTATTATATGTGTACCCATATTATTGCTTTTCCAAAAATAAAAATAAAAGTATCTATGTAAGAATTTTGGTATCTAAATTTAGTGATGCGCGATTTTGTATGCTCAAAGATTCGGCGCATGAGAAAGAAATTTAAAAACAACCTAGAAAGAGTTGTTGTTTTGAAGTATCAATTTTGTTGTGTGAAAATTGATAGTTTATTGCAGAGTTCCTTGTGATCATGCATTAAGAGCTTCTAGCTTTACCATCAATATATAAGTTCATGATTGATTTCAGAATATAACTTTTAAGCTGCAGGTATAACTCTGCTCTAAAATTGAAAGCCTTGAAGGAGCCAATGACCCTAACCAAAGAAATGATGGATGAAAAAGAGATGAGTGTTGTGACTGAAATTGAATCGAATGAATTCACCACGTTGAAGCATAGATTTTTGAATTACAAGAAGGACAAATACTTGTAAGCACCATCTGTTTTTTAGCATGCTTGACAGTAAAGGCTTCTTTTCGTTTGATTTTTGTTTCCTTCATTTGGACTAGGAAAAATTTGGAGCATTTTCAAAGTCTTGCAGAAACACAATCACCAAAGGTAACTTTCTTTCACCTTTTAGACATTTTCTTAGCATGGATTTTGTGCTGGTACTCAATTTTGATGTTACTCGGAAATTAATGAGACAAGGAATTTCCCTTTCCCTTCCCCTTTCCCTTGTCTAGTTTAATAATGGAAAGAGGACGGAAAGTGGAGAGAACACAAAAAAATTCTCTTATTTTTCTCTTCCTTTTTCCTTCTATTTTTCCTGTCTGTACTTTGTTCTTCTTTTCCCTTCCTTTTCCATATTACAATTCATAAAGTTATTTTTGTGGTCATGTGTTGAAGATCTCAACTGACAATTTGAAGGGCAGTTTATGGTAATTTCTTGTGCAGACTCTCGGGTGTGTCCCTCAAACATACTTGGATTTCAACCAGGAGAAGCCTTTGTAGTCCGCAATGTGGCAAATCTGGTGCCTCCCTATGAGGTGATGTATACTGGACTTGCACTTAACAAATGTCGTTTTCCTTGTTGGTGAACAAGCGTTGCTTTGCTAAGGATGTGTATTAACAATGCTCAGCATAAACGTTTGCAATTTTCTTCTTGTGCAGAATGGTCCTTCAGAAACAAATGCAGCCCTTGAGTTTGCCGTTAATTCTCTCAAAGTGAGTAGTATTTGTACAACAATTCTACAATGTGCTGTTTCCTTTTATATTCTACTGAGATGCCTGTTTCTATTATCTTTATGCTTTATTTGGGTGATCAGAATTTGTAGAATATGGAATCGAGTTAGTTGAGAAGTGATATTCTAAACAGGATGTTGCGATGGCGTAATTCCGAGACCTTCGATTTAACTGGACTGAAACTCCTTGACATTCTAAAACATGATTCTGATGATGGATTTACTTTATTCACCTTGATATAAATTATGTGTTATAAGTCATAAAAGTTCCAAAACACAAGGGACACTTGCGATGATGAGATTATTTACTTTTGGTCATCACCCATGAGATTGAAGTTCCTATTCAAATTCCTCTAATTTTCTACTTGCTTCTCTTTGGTTCATGCCCTCTTTTCTTATATTTATTTTTTATCTTTTGGGAAAGGGAGTGGGGACTTGCGGCGATTAGTCTCTCATCTTTTCTTTTCTCTCAAGTTTTCGGGTTTGTCTTCTTTTATCTGCAGGTCCAAAACATATTAGTCATTGGTCACAGCCGCTGTGGAGGCATTCGTGCCTTAATGAGTATGGACAATGAAACACCTTCAAGGTTTGGCTAGTCTATCTTCTTACTAAGTTTTGTTAGAGGCTCTAACAAACTAATTTCTTTATGAAATGCCGTAAAATAGTCTTGCTGTGTAATAAACTCTTCTATTGTTTTGATTCCTTGTAGCTTCATCAGAAGTTGGGTAATAGTTGGAAAGTCTGCACGGGCAAGCACAAAAGCTGCTGCTTCCAACCTCTGCTTTGACCAGCAATGCAAGCACTGTGAGAAGGTGCAGTCTCCTTTCCACACTTCATTTACGTTTTTGTTATAATGCAGTTTAAATACACTTGAGATATAACCACCCAAAATCATGCCATGGATAAAGAGGGTGTGGTCTTTCTCCTTTCTGATCACTGGAATACATGTATCTTCCTCTTTCTTTTGGCTAGAAATTCCATACATTTTGCACGTATTAATTATTTCTTCATAATTTCTTTTCCCTTCAGAAATAAAACATGACTAGTTTCAGAGTCACATGCTCCACCTGGTCCTGCTAATTTGGATTATATGCAATATATAATACTGAATGCTTCTTAGCGCGAATTCATGTGTCAGTGTTTTCAAAATAGAGTTCTGAGTGTTGGTGTGTGCATGCTGATGCTGTACAAGTTTGCTGGATTATGTGTATTTTGTAGTTGGAATGGGTGGCCTAATCTGGAATGAGGAATTCGAAATTGCAGTTAGACATTGTAACTTTTAGATTTTTCTGTATGTATGCATGCACAAGCTATTCTGAGTATTGACGCAATGCACATACTTGTACATCCAGGAATCAGTCAACTGCTCATTGATGAATTTGTTTACGTACCCATGGATTAAGGACAAGGTGAATAAAGGGGAGCTCTTAATTCATGGTGGCTACTATGACTTTGTCGACTGTACTTTTGAGAAGTGGACTCTTGAGAACAACTCTCAAGTGGATAATCAAGTCTCCATCAGAAACCGGGAATTTTGGTGCTGAGACTCTTCTAGTCCTCTGTTTGTGTTGTTGTATCAAGCAATTACCTGTAATACAAATCTCATTGTTTATCCTTGTTGACAAACTAAATGTTGTATAATTTTCAAGTGTGAACTCTATTTGCCACTTGTATTGAAAAAAAAGGATAAGTTTCCTATATATAATTTGTTCCGCTAGTATCAGTTTACATGCCTCTATGCTTCTTGTCTACAGTTATTACCCAGACAAATGCTATGCGCAATGTAACTGGCCCTTCTGGTTGTCAGGATTTTGAAATGCTAATTCGAGGAGTTTTTTTTTTTTTTATCCGTGGTTTCCGGGCATCGCTTTGCGAACCCGACTAGCTCTACCCACCGGGACCCGCTGTTTCAATGCGTGCACCACGGTTAGTTCCACGGGGCCCTGGAGACGCGGCCGGTTTGTAATGCCTCCAGTGGCCCTGCGGGGGCTCGAATTGGCGACCTGAAGGACTTTGTCCTCAGGCCTTTACCAGTTGAGCTACCCCTCAGGGTTAATTCGAGGAGATTGGTTCTTCCAAATTCTTAGAGAACTTGTATATATTGTGAATATCATTTGGTTTGGGTCCGCTATTTTCATTTTTAAAGAACCAGCAATGCCTTGTTTATGTCATTTTTAAAGAACAAACAACTCGAAATTACCTTCTCCAGGCTTTGTACGTTCATCCTTTCTCTCCCTACAGCTTTAATTTGGAATAGAACCAAAAAGAGACAGAAGTACTATTACAACTCCATCAGTTTAGAGGTGACAGAATTTGGCTTTAAGTGCATGAAAATCTTTATTGCACTGCAGACCTATTTGACCTTAAATGCATCTGAACTGCAATTTTTGCACTTTAGACTTAATTAGCCTTAAGTGCATTGCACTTTAGACTGTTTTTTTCCAACTTCAGACCCGATAAGTATGAAGTTGAACAGTGGGTAGCCTAGCAAATATTTGTGCAAAAGTGGATATAACTTCAATTGTGACATCAAAACTGAGTATAGATACAAATGCCCCTCGGAAAAGCTCATAGCCATATGGACCGGGTTGTAAGACAATGCAACAAAGGGATAGATCAACCCTCTAGCAAGAGCCCTGTTGATATCAGGCTTCTTTTTGCTGCTTCTTGTTTTGCTTTCCTTGCATAATATAAACGTTTTCTTACCAGTTGACTCCATTTCGTTTTTCTAGATAATGTCAAGGTAGACATTGATTGTCAAAATCCTTGCCTACATAAGAGTCTGAACACAAGAACAGTGACAGATTCAACCATGGGTTGACAGATCGAGAGAACCTAATATTTTGAGGTCGGACTCTATATAATGTATGAAATAAGTACCGATTGAATTAGATATATACGTTAAAAATAACTCTATCAGCTCAGAACCCACAACATTTAAATTCTACATTCTCCACAGAGTCTGAAAACCAAGTTATACTATGAGAATTGACTGCATTTGACAAAGTTAGCCTCCAGAAGTTAGAAATGTTCATTCTCTTGCTGATTATGTTTGGCATGTCTCGTGGGACAAGTATATGATGAATTTCAACAACAAAACAATTAATTTGACTCTTGTACTTTTAGAAATATGCAATGTTCTCAACTACATACAACCTTCTAAATTGTAACACTGCATAACCATAGATTCAAGAAGAAATCATTCTAGAGCCTAAGAATCAGTTGTACACACATTACTCAAATTGCATGATCTTTCTTGCAATATCGAGCATATCTGGTCTATTTTCTCCCTTAGCCTGGACACATCTTAAAGCGATATTAATGAAAGCTTGTAGCTGTTGATGATTTACAGTCGATTCGTTCAAGATTTTAGGGTCCACGATCTGCTTGAATTGATCGTCCTTATGAATATGGTCATTTACATAATTCACAATGTGTTCTGGATCATCTTCATTGGCCCTGCATATAGGACCCTGTCCATTTAAGAGCACCAGTAGAAGCACACCAAAACTATAGACGTCGGTCTTTTGAGTGACAAACCTTGAAGATTGGTACTCTGGATCCAAATAGCCAGGAATCCAAATCAAGTCATCTTCCACTTGCAACTCTCCAGGAGGAAGAGAAATAACAAATGAGAAATCAAACAGTTTGGGAACACAATGATGGTCCAAGATAATGTTATGGGGATTCAAGATCCTGTAGATAATGGGAGTTGGAAATGCAGTGTGTAGATAAAGAATTGCACTGGCAATGCTTTTGGCAATCTTCAATCTACATTTCCAACTTAACAATTTATCGCAATTGGGGTCAAGGAAATTAGCGAGAGTCTCAAATCTGGCATCCTCATACACTAGTGCTGGATATGTGAATTCCAAACAGCAACCTATAATCTTCAAAACATTCCTATTTCCGCTCATTAGCGATGTGACTGCAATGTCACGTACAGCTCCAGCAAGAATGTCAAAGTCGGAATGTGAGGCAGGGTTACCTGCAAAGGCGGATCCAAGATTTTAATTTAATACAACTATACCTACTACCACTACTTTGTGAACCACATATATGTAAGCTAAAAACCATACTAGCATAGATAAAATTATGAATTAATTTGAGAAGCCACATGGTTGGTTACCTGGAATATTGATGAACATTTTGACCAAGATAGAGCGGCCTAGCAGAGTTCCTCTAGAGATGTAACCGTAGGTGCTAGCATGGACACGTCCAGCGAAGTTGTTTGTGGCCTTAACAAGTTGTTGAGCACTGTAACTAGGGATGGGAATGTCATATGTTCCACTAGAAAAAGAAATAAGCTCTTCCAACAGCGCACTTCCATTTTGTAGGAACAGATTTGCGACATCTTCTTCTTCTTCCTTCCTAAGTTTCTTCAAGACTGACCACATCTTCCTTATGCAATCCATGGCTAGCTGGGTAGACTAGGAAAAATCTGCCCAATTTGGGGCGTTGAAAATTTGATCGAATCTATACATTTACGCGTTTCTAGATTCTAATAATTTGGCAGACAACTTTGACCATTAAAATACATGGAATTAGGAGTCAAACAGGCGAATCGGGTCGGATATGGTTCGGGTCGAAAATAAAAATGGATAAATTATCCGACTCGACCCATATTTAATACGGAGAAAAAACGGGTTAACCGACAATAATATGAGTAATCATATTATCCATGACTTGTTGCATATGATCACTTTTGGGAGAATTCTTAGTCTCCCTGACTTGAGGAACCCCCTATTTGAGGCTTTACAAATGTAAAAGCTAGACACATTCATTATCCATTGGTTTTGGTTATCCATTTTCTAAATGTATAATATGGTTCTTATTCATATTTGACCCGTTTTTAAAAAGTTCATTATCCAACCCATTTTTTAGTGGATAATATGGGTGATTAACTGTTTTCTTTTAACCATGCCATCACTACGTGGAATAGATTAGGTGAGAAGGTGTATATAACTTGCTCATAGAGTAGGTGTTTATACTAAATCAAATTAATTCAACATATTTAAGTACTTTATCTATCCCAATTTATGCTACACTTGACCAACATTTTAAGACGTATTTTTTAATCGTATTGATATAAGAAGAATTACAATTTATAGTACTTTTCATATTATTTTTAAATATCTAAATTTTAATTTAAAATATTGGGTTAATCTAATCTAGTTTAATTTCAAAGATAAGTCAAATTGATTTTTGATATATGTGTCACGTTAATTGGGATGAAAAGAGTAACAAATTAAGATGAGAATTTATATTTAAATTAGAAAATATATGTAACCGACAAATGTATTTTTATTGATTTGATGTATATGTAAGTGTTTCAGATGTATGCTGCCTATTGTTAAATTATTTTCTAGTATAAATATGATTTTAGTCCTTGAGTTATAGTGTAATTCCAGTTTTGATCCTTGTGTTATCTCACTTGGCATTTAAACCTTCAATTAAGTCATGTACATAATTTTATTCCTTTAGAGTTAGACTAATATTAAAAATAATGGAACTAATATTTTTATAAAAAATATAAAAGAAAAGTAAGAAAGCCTCCTTCACCGGCGAGGACACTGCAGCCGATGAAGTGACTCGTCTTAAGAGCTCTTGCCAATGTTGAAAAGAGAGATTTTGATGAGTATTGAGAGCTCATCCAATGGATCTCGACGAATTGAAAGATAGTTTTGGTAAAAATTAAACCCACCACGTGGACCGATTGAACCGTATCAAATAAGTTACGGAGGAAGATAATAAATGATGAAAAGTGCATATCTTTTAGTATATTTGTATATTAATTCTTGTGTGAGTCGTGGGAGATTACATGATTTTTGAAGTGAAATATACTCATTATGTGTTTCTTATGTGTAGGAACGAGTTTGGATGATAAATGATCAAAAGATGACAATTTGACACAAAAAGAAGAGATGGGAAGAATTGGGAGCTCGTCCGATTTCATGCGTGGCACAAAAACGGCCGCGAAAAAGGAGAAAAAATGAAGGCACAAAACAGCGAAGCGAAGCGAAGGCACGGATCGCTTCGCGAACTGGAAAATTGCTAAAGTTGCATCCGCATCTATGGTCGAGTGCTACGCGAAGGCAGACGTGCCCTCCAGTTCTCCTATCCGATTTTGGATTGCCTTGGACGGCCCTCCACCCTACCTAGGTCATATAAATACATCCTAAAACTACTTTGGAATGAGAGAAGACTTTAGGGGGGCAAGAACACGCTAGGAGCAAGAAGGAGAAGATTCAACTTCACGTTTTTTCCTCTTTCTTCCTCTATTTCCATTATTGGTTATGAATTCTAGTATTGTAGTTTTGCATACTATTATGAATAGCTAATTTATTATCTAGGGTTTTGATGGAACTTTTTAGAGGATGAAGTCTTGTTATATTTTTATATAATTGAGCCATTGGATTTTCCTACTCGTTCAACTACGTGTTTGTTGTTGTTGTTTGATTGACCATCAATTGACTGTGCCTATTTAGTATGTATTGCTTGGAAAATGGTACATATTTAGGTATTTGTTGAACAATATCACTCCTAACGTATGTGAGTGATCAATACAGAGGGTTTAAAGGTAGGATTAGGAATAACGAAGCTTTGGTGCGATCTTAGTGACCGGTGCACTAGTGCCAGCTAGCGTAGTTTGGAAGAATATGTCATAAATTGTGGTAGTTGCTCGGAAGAGAATACGACACCTGAAGTACCCACGATTGGTAGAGAATAATTAGGTGAAATTATAGAAGACGTACCGGGAAGGATTCCGACAATTGGGAAAATCATATCTCTAGACCTCCTTAATCTTGTCTCCAATCCTTATCCTTGTTAATTGATAGTTTTACTGATTTCTACTATTTGTTAGTTAATTAAATAAAAATAAATATTATAATCTTTATAATTAGGAAATTATTTGGACTTGTGTTTCTTAGCGATATTGAACAAATGTAGCTAAGCTTTAGTTTTCTGTGGGATTCGACTCCGGACTTGTAAACCGGATTATATTTGCAACGACATTTTAATTCTTTTTATAAGGCATAGTTGGACGTGATCAGAAGCCTATAATGACGTGGAAAGAATATGAAGAACACTAGGTACCAAACACAATGACACCGTAGATATTAGTCTCGTAACAGACTATAACGAAACTACACCAAATTCGGTACAAAGAATCAGTCATAGACACGAAGGTGAAGAGTATCAGCCAATCCCAGATTAAGCGGGATTTGCTATTACTCCCTCCGGTCCAAAATAAGTGATTTTTTGGTCTTTTTCTTGTGGTCCAAAATAAGTGATTTTTTCATATTTCAAGAATGAATTAGTTATTTTTTTCCTACATTGTCCTTGAAGTAAATGGTGTTGAAATATGTGTTAGGAGTGTTTATGTGAGATAGTAAAGGTTAATATGGTCAATTTCATTGCTAATTAATGCTAAAAGGTGGATTTCTTAATTTGTGTGAAAACATTCAAAAAATCACTTATTTTGGACAGAAGGGAGTATTATGCAGTTAGTTACGAGTCAATAATGTAATAAAAAGTAAACGCAATTAATGAACATAACGGGTAGGCATTGAATGAGATAAACAGTTACGAGTGAAAGAGATTGCTATTTAAACCCCTATTCCCAATATTGTATCACATCTGAAAAATTTCTTATTATTCTCGCGATCATAGCATTTTATATCTGGTAATTCAAGATCCGAGTGATACAAGAGAAGAGCTATTCTCATTAATAAGAATTTTCTTTTCTTTTACTTTATTCCTTTATTATTACGTTCATTGTCTATTCAATTTCATATTTGTCTTATCTGGAGAAGTGAATCAAATCTGTTGTTAGTGCACAAAAATATAAATTCAATTTCTTTGACCTACAAATCTAATTTTGGGTTAAAATTTTTGATTCCGCTGCTGGGATCTGAACAATTTATTTTTTCCATTTACTTCCATTTATTTATCTGCGAACAAATTATGTGTGAAATTAGTCAAACTAATCAATAGGAGAGTAGTCGAGAAGTGACACCACAAAAGTCACTTGAGAATTCACCATGTCAACCCCGAAAAAATTCACCATTAATGTCACGATCCAAAATCCCACCAAAGGTCGTGATGGCGTCTAACTGCTCGCTATGCAAGCCAACACAATAACAATCACAATTCTAAACCAGATTAACCAGATCTTAACAAAATTCTCAATATGATAAGAAGCAGGAATAATCTCAAACTGATAACAAGGTAAAACTATATGAGGCAGGGTCTAAACACGACCACAACGGCCTATACAGCCCCAAAATCCAGTGTCACTACATCAAGAGCATCTAAAAAGAGTAACAAATGTCAACTAAACAAACATCTATTTGAAAAAGAAAACAAGGACATAAATAGGTAAGTAGGGAGGGGACTTCATGTGCTGCGGATCAGATCAATTATAGCAATGTACCACGAATTCTCCAATATTTTGATCCTACTCAACTCAATGGTACCGCCAATACCAGTCGCAGAACCTGCACAAAAATGTGCAGAAGTATAATATGAGTACACCACAGTCAGTACCCAATAAGTATCAAGTCTAACCTAGAAGTAGTGGCGAGGCCATAGGCAACGAGATACTTACAATACAGATATAAATAACAAAGCCTGAAACTGAAACATTAAATCTCATCATGGTCAACAAGTATTCAAATATGTCAGACAGTCGAAAGATATAAAGTATGATTTTCCAACTTAAGAGATAATCGTGACGTTATTCAGATATGGTATTTAAAGATGACATGCTTCAATCAACGGAGTCAAGTATCCCAACTAGATAAATCAAAGACGTCTATACATGCTAAAGACTCTATTTATTTCCATGACTGCAACAAGATTCATGTACCTCGATACAAAATCTATGTATCCCAAAACAAAATCCATGTATCATAATAACCCGATAAAAAAACTATATACCGACCCGATGCACTATTCATGTATCGACCATGCTCGCAGGGCCCAAAGTAACATGGGTAATTACCTGACTATATAGGGACGATACCAAATCCAAGTGCAAAAATGAGCTTAATAGCTCAGTTATAGTTAAATATTCGCTCATCATGTCTTGTGCCATAACTGTATTTTAACCGCACGACCTTACCTTTCGTGCCACAATCTAGGTCCAATTCAAGTATCTGAAAATATTACATATGCATGTGCCCAAGAATTAATAGATAACAGATGCACAAGGACTATATATTATTATGTGGATATGTGCTCGTGGAATTTCTATATGACTACGGATGATTCAAGCAATTCATCATATCAAGAACAAATTCTCATACCTTCATAAATAATCATAAACCTATGTATGGTCTCTAACATGAATAAGAGAGCGAACATAGTCATATAAGTCTAACAAATCATGAAGCAAATGAGCACATATTTAAACCATACATAAAGTATCTCGATTCTACCCCTGGTATGATATAAATTTGTTAAGTGCATATACACTCGCCGCCCCGTAAGTACTC